AGGATGTAACTAGCTTTATTGTTTATCATTTTCTAAAACTATCATCCTTAAATTTTTTACTTTATAAATTAAAGTAATATATATACCTCTATATAAAAATAATAATATGCCCCTCTTCTAACTAGAAGCACTATCCATACAGACCTACCAATAGTAGAATACACTATCACTAATATAAATCTTCCTATAAAGACTGGCACTAGTAATCTAATTAATGCTCTTAGGGTAAGATTAAAAATAAGAGGTTGGCAGTTCTTTGTACCAAATAGTACAGTAGTAAGCCGGGATTAACTTTTGCAAGGTAGACATTGGTACAAAGAACTGCCAGCCTCTTATTTTTGATCTTAAGACAGACCAACTTATTTTTTTTATATCCTGATCTGTTCACAGATGTGGTCAACTTTATTGTGGCTAACTCCCTATCAACCCCACCCCACATTATACCTTGATGAAATTTTCTTTTTGCCTATGGCATTCTGCAGAGATTACCAAATAAACTAGGGGATGTTATTGCCCTATTTATAAGAATCATAATTATATGTCTTATTACAATACTCAAAAAATCTTCTAATTTATAATCCCTTACGTAAACTCATTACAAACTTTATTGCTTACTCCTTCATTCTATTAAGCTATATCGGATCTCAAGTAGTTAAACCCCCCTTTATTATTATAGGACAAATACTTAGTGTTATCTATATTTTTCATTATAGCTGCTATATGAGTAAATTATATTTGCCTTGAAAGAAAATCAAGACCTTACGAGTCATTACTCTAGATAAAATTCATTTAATATAATAAAAGTTATATAGAGATTTCAATTCTAAAATACCTCAGGTTAACCCTAAGTAATGAATTTTAGGTAAATATATACCTCTAAATCCAAAATTTAATGCACTATGCCAACCTAAATTAAATTTAAAGTGGTCCTTTCGTACTAATATTACTTTTTAAATTAAAGACAATAACCGACCTGAATCTCGCCGATCACTTACTGCATCTTAATGAAAAATAATTTAACATCGAGGTAGCAAACACTATAAATTATAAGTTCTAATTTACTATATTACACTGTTAACCCTAAAGTAACTTTTCTAAATATCAATATAAAATTGGATTTCTCTAAAATACATTCTATTATTGCTAATATTTTATAGGATATATTTAACTTTAGCCTTAGTTGCCCCAACTGTAATCCTACAGAAGCTCCTAGGGTCTTTCCTTCTTTTTATTAACTTTGATATTCACCTAAAAATTAAATTCAATTTTATTAACTAATATAACTTAAATAAGTCTTACCATTCGTCCTAGCAAACAATTAATTTGCAAATGATCATGCTACCTTCGCACGGTCAAATTACCACAGCCATTAAATTTATAATTAGGCAGGCAATACTAAAAACAATTGCTTTTAGCTAAGTATTTGTTAAACCTACATATTTTAATTGAGTAAATTAATTAATTCATATATTTATATTATTTTTTATACTACAAAATTTTTATTTCTACTAATTAAAGCAAATTAATTTTTATAATCCGATCCAAATTAATTTAAAATTAATTTATATATAATATATGACAAACTACAATAAGCATTAAAAGATTTTACCTCAATTTTATTTGTACTTATTTGATTATATTTAATTAAGAGAGCTCACCCCTATTAACTTCGGAATATTACTCACCGCATCCTAAAAGAATTATTTTAATTAAGCCAGCTATAGAAGAACATGAAAGAAGAATCGGCTGTCAAGTAGAATGAACGATGGAATAATTTGGAATGTTGGCGGGATAGTATGTAGATGCGGGATATTGATAACGAGGATTGAACAATGGGGGTAGTTGAAAGAAATTGGGGGATATGGATGGCGAGGATCGAATGAACGATGGAATAATATAACTGTTGAAGGGATATTGATAACGAGGATCGAACAATGGGGGTAGTTGAAAGAAATTTGGGGATATTGATGGCGAGGATCGAATGAACGATGGAATAATATGACTGTGAACAATGGGGGTAGTTGAAAGAATTGAGGGATCTTAATGGCGAGGATCGAATGAATGATGGAATAATATAACTGTTGAAGGGATATTATAAAAAAAAGAGGCTGCTTTCTTATAGGAGGATAAAAGAAAAAGGAAAGACTGGGGCGGGGTTTTATGTATTAAAAGATAATAATTGGAATAGGGAATCTGATATAATTGTTGTTAATTTGTGAAGGATAACATTGATAAAAGTTTTAATATTTATTAGAAGTAAAAGTTGTTGTAATGTGTGTTATTGATTATATTATTAAAGGTGTGGTTGGTTTATGAAAAGAAAAATAAATAAAAAAGGGTAAATAAAAAATTTAAAAAAAATATTTTCAAAAGAAAGAAAAATGAATAAACAAGGTTAATTGAAATATTTTGTTTGTATTTAAAAAAAAGAGATAATAATAATAAGGGATAAGTGAAGTAAAAATTGAAGGAATTGTAAATGATAAGAAGCGGGATGATTTGTATGAAGACAACTGATAAAAATTTTAGTAAATTAAGAGAGAAAAATTATAATTTGGGTAGAGAAACGTTGTCTTTCCAAGGGAGTATGAGATTTATAAGTTAACATAAGAGAGTATTGGAAATAAATGATTAAAAATTTAATAAATTAAGAAAAAGAAAAAAACAGAAGAACAAATTATATTTGGTAAACATTCTCTTTTAAAAGGAATTTATATTTTGAGTAGAGAAGCAATTTTTCTTGCAGACGGAATTTGTACCATTATGACCATTGTAACAAAGTAAGTGTGTTATTAGTTGTATGTATGTAGGATAGGGGCGAAAGGGGATTTTTGTAAAAAAAAGGGGGGAAGATAGGACGGTTTTTAATTTCAAATATATGGGCAGGTATGTTGATCTGGGGACTCATCTGGTTAGAACTACGATAATTAGCAAGGACATGGAGCCCCTAGCTAGTGAATGGAGAACATTGACACAAGTACCGCTACGCGAGAGGTCGGTGAGTCGAACAAGGGAGGGCTGGAGGAAGACCGGAGATATAATTTATGTTATGGCTGCCGAAAAGCAGGACACATCTGAAGATGGTGTCCAAGGGAGCGGTATGACCAACCTCAGGGCACGGAGTGGGTGGTGAAAAGGAGAAAAGAAGCGGAAAGCAGTGTTCAAGAGATGTCTGACGAGGTGCCGGAGCTGCGGGTGTGGAAGGAAGAATACAAGCAATTGCTGGGTCCGCCAAGAGCTGGTAAAAGGGGGAAATGTTCCAAATGAGGCAGTCTTTGGGAGATGATTGCGTCGTAATATATTTTAAGTTGTTTTAGGAACTCATAATGAATTGTATTTAATAATATTTTTAGATCATAAAAGTTAGTTATGGCAGAATCATTATGATATTGTATTTAATTATATTTTTAATCGCGTTAACAAGTTATTTTTAGATTTATAAAAATTAGTTATGGCAGAATCATTATATGATAAATTATAATTTTAAAAAAAGTTATTTTTAGTTTGGTTATTTTTTAAAATTATTATTCGCTTCCCTTAGTTGTTTTTTTTCCTTTATAAAATCGTAATTGTTTTTAATTGATATTTTTTTGATTATAAAATTCTTGGAAATATTATTTTACTAATAAAGTTGTTGAGTAAATATCATTTCCGTGTAAATTAGTATATAAATTCTATCAGAGTAAGCGCACAATGTGATAAGAACAATTATGTTTATCTGATTTTTATGGCATATGGATTAGATGCCGATTAGATTTAGAAAAATTTACTAGTCCTTTTTATACGAAATATTAGAAAACATGAAAATTCTAAAGCAACAATATTTGCAAAATAGTGTTGTTCTATATATATATTGACCCTCGATATCAAGTTTTATTTATTAAGTATTGAGCGAAAACAGATGGCTAAAGACCATCTTAAAAAATTATGGCATATGCAAAACTCCAATATTTACAACATATTGGAGACTATGACAATACCTATTAGTTGTAGTGGTAATGATAATGATAGCAACATTGATGATCTTGAAATTTTACTTTTAGATAGAGGAAAAATATCAAATAATCATCAGATAGAAAGGAGGATCAAAAAATGCCTATTACATCTTTAATAGAAAATTTCTCAGTGCTAAGAGAATAAATAAGGATACACATATTTTAAAATTTAGGAAGAAAATATATCCAGAATTATATATCTTGTCGAGAATCGTTATGGCTGTACCGGCCACAAGTACAATAATTTATTTATTATAAAGATTACTATCTATTTTCGGTCAGCGTAGAATGTGGATTTTCATCTTTGACATATATATTGTCTAATTCAAGTGGAAATCTCAAGGATGATATTTTACAAGATATTATGATTTGCGATTGATTAAAACATAAAATATTTTATCTTTAAATTTTTTGTAAATTATGAAGCATATATTGAAGTATAATAATAAATGAATGAAAAAAATGTCTTATTTTGAGTAATTTATTTTATGTTCCTTGAACCCGGACCCTTTTTAAATTTTATTACTGTACCCGAAATAAAAAACAAAAATCAATGATGATCAAATATTTGTAGGTTCGAGTGGTATATGTTTGGTTTAAAAAAATTAGAATGATCTAATAGCTCTTTTCAATATTTTAAAGATATTTAAAAAGGAAAGATAATGATTTATCCACCATAATATGTTTAGATTATGACCTAATATATAATTTTGTCATGTAGTGTCCTTTTTTCAAACACTAGTTACGTTTATCAAAAACATAGTTTTCTGATCTAATTAGTAGAAAAAAGAAACTATGATATTGCAGAAATCACTGTATTTGAAAAAGGATATTGTGTCACTATAAAGGGGAAAAAACTAATATTGCTTATCCTTTACCATCCTTATCCATCTCAATTACTGATCTTATGTCTATATAAAATATAAGAGAAAATAAAATATGTTCAAAAATCACAAATTATATTCACAAATAGATAAGCATCATAAATATGTATTTTTTTTAATAAAATTTTATTTCAATATAAAACTCTAAAAAAATTGTTTAAAAGTGATCTAAAGTCTCATTGAAAGTTTGTTCAGCTAATTTCTCAACTTTTCCCTTGATGAGAAGTTGATTCTCCGGATCGTCCAATATATTGTTAATCTCATCTCTTTTAGCCAAGTATGCGGGTAGTTTATCGTTAAGATATTTGAGAGGGTCAGTGGTGATTTTGAATAAAAGATTTCGGTCTCCTAAATCTTTATTGAACCCTGTGCTGTATTTAGCGGGACACTTTTTTATAAAATAAAATAATAAAACGTTGTACTATTTAAAAATAAATCATAAATACTAAAGTAAAACTTTTATAATTTAATTATATAGATTCTTTAATATGTTGACTCTTGAAATAGACCTTCCTCATGCCATTTAAATCAAATCTATTAATAACAAAACTTCTATAATATGATTATATCTATAGAATCATAATTATATGAACGGCGTAGAATTTATAAAAATAAGTTTAAAATTTTCTCCTATTTCTAATAACTATACCTTTTTTAAAAATATGATAAATTTTACTCAATTGACTTGATATGTCCCGCTTCCTTTATTTTATATTATGCTTGCTTATATTTAAATTTGTAAAAAATGGTTTAAAATAAATTCTTCCATATTCAGGCATCGCTAACATAATTTTTATCCCACTTATCACCAATACTCTCGGTGTTTTTGATGAAGATCACATAATTAGGGAGAAAATTTAGCCAAATAAGTGGCACTCGTATTGAAGTCTTCTATTTCAAACAAGACATAAATTACTATGGCGATTCTTCAAATTAACTGCCTTGCTATTCATGGTTCATATCAATGCAAATAAGCCGGTCTCACCTTTGACCGTATTACCTAATTTAATTGTTTTTTTTAATTTAATTTTTATTATAATATATATGTATGTGCTATATCTTTATAATCGTGATTTGTATTTTTTATATCACATTTGTCTTGAATTCGTTTTTAATAAAAAAAAGTTATAAATTTTTTAACATATCGAAAATATTATTCTATTTTATGAAAATGCAGCACTTCAAGCTTTGCGTTATTTAACGCAGCTTTATTACAGTTAATTCAGTTTTAAATAAAATAAAGCTAAAATAGAGACAATTATTTTATATAATATTTTTTAAAAATCATATACCTTTTATTTATCGAATTTGCTATTATTTTTATAATCATTCGTATATTATTTATTTATCAACGCATCGCAACATATGCTTTTCAAATTTTATCATAGTGTTATCATCATAATGGTTCATATTTATAAATATATACCTATTTATTGACTTTATTTTGTAACAATGCAACATTGAACAAAACGTGTTTACTAAAATTTTACCTTAAGCAAAAAATTTAGAGTATGAACATGGCTAGGATAGTTAGTTCATTGAGCAGTGATAGAACATTATCCTGGAAGTTCTCTTGTTCATTGAAAATATATTTTCTACCAGAATAACAACTAGTAAGGTTGATGTTTATCGAATTGGAATATAATTAAGCATCAATATTTTGTAACGCATTAAAAATGTAATTGAGAGATGCAAATAAATTAGTTGGAATCAAAATTGAACAAATTTATACCCTTAATTTCTTTTTTTCACGGAATAATAAAATAGACAATATTGACTAAAATAGATGTAGTAATCTATGTCGGAGCAATAATTAAATATAGGAGAAATTAAAATATTCCTATTTTTTAACAATATATTACAAACAAGTTATCGTTTTTGAAGTCTGCTACCTATTATCACCACAATCAAATTATGCAATGGAGGGATGGCTTGATACCTTTAACAAAAGTGTGCATACCCCACCTTGCATGGGAGAAGTTAGCTAGAAAAATTCAAATTAAACAGCATTACAAGCTTTGACAAGAAGACAAGTCGAAATTGGATGTTGTTAATTTCAAAAAAAAAGTTACAAAGGTTTATTTTATTGTAATTAATTATGGACATATAATGATCATTAAGATTATATATGGAGAAATGAGGGTCTAATCGATATTAGTATATATTTTTTGTTATAAATATGAATAAATTGTGAGAATTAAATTTTTTCAAAATATCAAAGCCTAGAATAAATTTATCACTGAAATGAAACATTATAAGTAGAAATAAAAAATTGCAAATTCTTAAAACAAACAATTTGTAATGAGAATTTCTAAAATACGATTTATTATTCAGTTACAAATAATATAATTAATTTTAAAAAAAAAGATCGACGGACATTTAATCCGGAGACATTACGTCTAGGAACATTTTGTCAAAGGTGTCTTTAGAAAATTTTGTCCTAAGACCATTCGTCTTTAAGGCTATTTCGACATACTGTCTAAAATTTTGTCCGCTAACTTTTATAATAGTTTAGTTTTTATAGCTTTGGTATAAAATTGTGAATTTGAAGAGTTTGAGTATTATGATTATGACCTTTTTTGAATTCCTCAAAGCAAAGATTGAATAACCATAATATATCATATTAACAAAATTATCTTTTCTTCATAACTTTTATATATATATTAAAAATAAATTCAATGTATTTTTATCGGCGATTTCCTGGCACTCAAATATATATTAAAAAACTACCTTTTGAAAAACAAAAAATTAAAAATCTGAGTCTTGAAGCATTTTGATCAGTAGTATTATTAACTTATCTTTGCTTAGAAAATTTATTTCAAATAGTTATTATTAAAGTTTTCTAATTTTATATATTTATCTTACTGATTACTACAATAAACCTATTTTTAAAAAGGGGGTATCAAATTGATTTTATAAATTGAATTTAACCTTTTGCATAAGGGCATCCATAACGATCAGGTGATTTGGATCCGCGTTAAATTCACCAACACTAGGCACAAAGGGATGGAAAAAACTGTAATAACCGTCTCGGTCGGCCAAACTAAAAAAAATCGGATGTTTAAAAAAAAATTAATAGTATAACAATGAAAAATTCAAGTACGATTTTTTTCTAGACACATTCAATAGTGGTCAGTAATGTAAAACACATTTTTAATTAATAATGGAAGATATCATTCAAATTTTACCTCTTTAGAAATTATTATAAAAAACATTTTCTACAAGTGTATATATGTCGAGTTCGTCTAGATACGTTTAGACGTCGGTCTCGCCTCGGTAAGCCCTTGAAAATCGGTCCTAAAAACCACCCGTCCTTCATAATCAGGGTTGCCAGGTCTCCTTCCATCTGCGGGAAACTCCCGCAATTTTTTAATTTACATGCAGACATCTTACTCTGCAAAACTACCGCGATTTTTAAATTTCTCCTGCACTATTTTTTTTTTAAACATTTTAATGTTTTTATTATATAAATAATAATTTTGAGAAACAGTAATTTATTATTTTTATTTTTTTAAATAAATTTTAAATATTTTATTCAAAAAACATGTATAGTTTGTAAATATCTTTCCTTTCTATGCTTACCTTAATAATATGTTTTATTTTTATCCAATAATAAATCAACATCATTCATTCATATTTTAACATTTTCATGTGTTACCTATTTTGAAAAATATTACCTATTTTGAAATTATAAAATACCGACTTAATTAATATTTATATAAAGTAATTATAAGAATTAATAGGGAGATAACTAAGCCAATTCACAATCCTTTTTTAGCATTTTTTATATTTCTACCGCAATTTTCATATTTCACCCGCAAAATACCAAATTCCTTCCGCAATTTGAAAATTTTGACCTGCCAACCCTGTTCACAATACGTCCGAAGAAAAGACCGAAAGATCTATATTTTTTTATTATATATTAATAAGCGTATTATAATTTTATAATTATATACATTAATATAAATGAATATGGTAAATTAAATATATATACATTTGCCTAATGATTTTTCACCGTTACTCATGTACTTTGTATTTATTTTATATTTTAGTAGTTTTTAAATGGATACAGAAGAGAGAATTATTATTTCTATATTACATAATAATACCATATTTATATTATATCATAAATCATTTCGATTCCTGCCTAAGATATTTCTTGCAAAAAGATATGTTAATTATATATATTCTGAATTTATTAATAAAATTTTGCTATTTATTTTATTCATTCTATCTATTTGGTAAAATAAAATGTTAAATATTTTTAAAAAAAACTACATTAGTATTTAAAAAAAAAATTTGCTCTAGGATGTGTTCAACATTTGCTCTAGGACGCAGAACGCGTTTGGTGTTATGTCCCGTCCGTCCCAAGAAATCCGTCCTAAAAAAAGTCCTTCAAGAAGCGTCCGAAAATTCATCAATTCCCAATAGAAAAAAAACCGGATTGGGATGGATGGACTGTTTAAATTCTCTAGTAGTCTCGGTGCAATTTAGAAAAATACAGAATTAACTTAGGATAACCTTTTCCTATTATTTAGCGGGGTATCATTTAAATAATAATATCTCAAAGTCCTAATATTTCGATAAGAAATGTATGCCAACGAGTGGGATGAAAATGCAGTTTGAAGGCAAAAGTAAAAATAATCACCCAAAAATATATTATATTGATGGATATTAAAAAAAAAACAGTTTTCCAAATATTTTACTCTATTTAAATGAGATTTTGTTTAGTCGTTAATCCTATTTAAATTTTAGAAACTTGGCGGTATTCATCTAAGTCTACGGCAGCTAAAGTATTCAAATGATCATGGATTATCCTAAATTATATTAAGGCAGATATGACAATATACACACTAAAATTTAGAGTCCTATATCTGTCTTATTTTTCTGATCCACCCCCCTACCCCAAAAAATTATGTACGGCCTATCTGGCTCGAATTTCTTCAGAAAGTTAAATCCCAATCCTGCATAAGTATCAGATTTATAAATGGTCTAAAATCCGATTTAAAATAAGAGTCCAATCTGTTTTGTAGAGGTAATATGCGGGTAAATATTACAAAAGCACTCCATTTAAAAAGCAATTGTTTGAAATTTTTTTTGAAACCAATTTTAGGACAAATTAGAGTGTGCTTAAAGGGTCGCCACTAGTCGTCATATATGGGATAGGGTTGATATATAATTGTTAAATAAATTGCTCTATACTGTCCGACAACGTGCATTATCATTAGCCAAAGTTTTATCCAAATATGTGACTGATATGTCAACTGATCAAGACCTGTCAGATAGTGTTATATCACAGATGAACCTGTTAATATAAGATGAAAATTGTCATTGAAATTGGAAGGGAGTAAGTAGTTATGAAGACGCTTTCTTCATTTGAATAAAATTTGGAGGGAGGTAGGTAGTGCTTATTAGAATTCTTTTTTTTGCTTATTAGGCGCAGGTGTAGGGTAAAATCACCATTGGCATAGAATGGCCTAGACCTTTAAAAATGAACTATTTTTACTCTGCAAAGTTACCGGCTTGAGAAAATCTTTATCCGAATCTTGCAAGAATAAAAAGAGGGGTTCATACAAGGCTCTACTAAAATCTATCCGAAATGGTAGTTTGTGCTCATAAAAAATGATATTGCTTTTATAAATAATCTTTAAATGAATTTTTATTGCCGACCGCTAAAGATTGTATTTAAATAAAAATATTTTAAAAAAATATTACGCACATTTTGCGCTTCCTTCCAAGAGTGTTATCGTTGTGATAATACCAATCTTTCATTCTATATACATTTTCCAGATGGAATTCAAGATCTAACTTAGAAATATCATCCATAACCTTTTTACAAAAACAAGTAATTAAATTGTAAAAAAACCGAGTTATTTATCTCATTCGTTCACTAGATGGTTAATTTTAAATATTCCCAATGATAACAACTTAAGTTTATTAATTAAAATCGATTATTTAATTTCCACAATATTCAAGAAATTGGAAATTATTAAAATAATGGGTAAGATATTTTAAGCTTTAATAACTAATGAATAAAATTATCATATATTAATTTCTGTAAAAATAATTCATTAAAGTTTCAAAATTAATTGAAATTAGGAATTTAATCGTATAAAATTAAAAATCAATGATCATTTCTTGTTTAATAATATAGAATAAGTATTAAAAAACAAAACACGAATTTAAAAATCAATATGTATATTATGAGAGGCGTAACAGATACCCCCGTCACACCTGCGTTGCGTGATAATTCACAGGACCTCATAAAATATAACATTTTACTTAGTTTATTTAAATATTAAATATAACATTAATGATGGAATGGCTAATATTAACGAGAACTGACATTTTTATTAGAGGTCGGCGCAATTTTTTATCGGGCCTCGGCCCGGCTCGTAATTATTTTACCCGGCCGAGCCCACCAAACATATTTTTTACAATTTGTCGGTCGGTCCGGCCCGAAAATTGTTTCTACCGGCCTGATAAGCCGACCTCTAATTTCTATATTATTCAAAGAAATACATTCTTAAACTTGAAAGGAAAAATTAAAGAATTTGAACCTTCAGAAGTCTAAAGATGTTAAAACAGAAAAAAATTTTATGCCCACAAGATTGTCATCTAGACACGATTCATAAAATATTTTAATTTTAAAGATATTATTTACTTGCCAGAAAAGGAAAATAGATATTATTTAATATTTATATAGAAATTTTTTTTTAAAATAATTTCCGTTTTTTAATAATTTTAAAGTTATGTTTATTAATTATTCTTTTTCAGTGTTCTGATTGTGAATGAATAAAAACCACTCAGATAAAAATATTTTGTTTACAAAAATAATTAAAATAACACATTTAGTTTTAAAAACTTTAAAAAAAATATTAATAAAAACATTATTTTAATAATTTATTTTTATAACAATTTTAATTTTAAACTTCTTCAAACCAAATATATTTTTAGCCGGCTAAAAAATGGCTACACCAAGTGCTTTATCCTAAAACTATTACTCTGCCTTTTCGGGATTAATTTACAATTTGATCCTAAACATATTACAAAAAACATAACCTCTGAAATAATAACTCAATGTTAACGGATTTTCTTCGGCAAGCGCCTGAAGATTGAGCCGAGTTAGCTTGAAATTAAGCCATTACCCAATTATACAAACTTTAAAAAGTGTAAATTGAAAATTTTATATATTTTGACTTCAGAATAGGCAGGACAAAAAGTTGCTTGTTTATAACCCACCCCTCCTAATTAAAAACGATCCAAAAATATTCTAAATATCCCATTCAAGCTCAATCTTGCAGAATTTATGAACTAATGTTATCAAATGTACTTGTCTAAGATACATTTTTAAAATTAGAAAAAAATCAATATGTGTAGTTCGTATCTAATTCTGAATAGGATGGCGGAAATAATCGCTCGGCTAACCAACTTAATAACTCATTTTAATCCTATTTTTTGGTATTTCTAAGCCCTAGGTGATCCCGATTAAAAAAATTTTAACCCTAAGCTGAGTTGCCTGCATCAAACTATATAAAAAGTGTAAATTGATTTGATATATTTTGACTATAGAATCAGGAGAAAAGATGACCCCGGGTCTGTGCTTGGGGTTCGTGCTCAGAGCTGGTTTGGTTGATTTTTAGACCAAACCCCGGGTCTGGGTTTTACACAAATTACTAATTAACAACACTAGAACGCCGTTTTAAAATAATTAAAATTCATTGGTCTAAATTAAAAATATGCAATGAAACATTTTTAATAAATTTAAATTGTGGAGAAATGATTTTTTAATATTTAAGAAGCTGAAGATATGGAGTGTGGATTTAAATAAAAGGAAGAACTTCAAAAATAAATGAGAATTTTGATGAACTATGCGAGGAAAAATTGAATCTAAGATAAATATTTTTGTATTAGTGTACACTTTGCATCTATTAGTATAATTATTAACTGGAAAATCGATTTGCCAGCATAAAGTACCTTAATTTTTTAAATTCTGTAATAAAATTTTTTGATTTCGAGAAATTTTTCTCGTCGAAATATTTTTTTTATAAATTATTATGATTTGACTAAGTTTATCATGTTTTATCATTCATACACTTAATCATCAGTGATAATTACCAAATCGACTTGAACGGAAAATTTTAAAGTGTTACTTGGTTTGCCCTTGGTTTATAGTTAATTTTTTGCGCATAAAAAATAATGATCTTTATATGACATATTAGTTCAAAGATCGATGATAAACTTAGATCAATCTAAAAATCGGATGAATATCGGATCGGGTTTGTATAAATATCTAAAGATATGGTAACAGATTGGTAAAAAATTTATTGTTCGGCACAGCCCTAGTCTTAGGTGATGTGTATGTATGGAAAATAATAATTTTAAAGAATATATATTGAGGGCCCCATGCAGTTTTTTTGTGTGTTGGCCCCGGGATCTTCTGTTACGCCTCTGTATATTATATTATCAGTTTCGTTCTTTCATAAACTAAAAATATATAAAACATATAGTAATAATTTATATTGTATAAACTCACCCAATCAATAGCACCAAATTTCGACCAATCGTAAACCACGACTTCGCTATATTGCTCCATATCCGCGAAATAGAACTTTTTGAAGGCTTCGTCCATGGCCTTCAAATAATCGGTGTTTTTGAAGACTGAGCTATTAACTTCGTATGGCTAATTAGCAAAAGGGAAATTATATATATTATACACGCTATATTTTTCTAAAAAATTTGGTTTATATAAAAGTAAAATTTATTAACAAAATAAAAATATATTATAAATAAATTAAATAATGTGTTTAGTATTAAAGATCAGCGCCCTGTAAGTCGATTCTAGACCTGGTAAAAAATTATTTAGTTTTCCAGCTTATTATAATCTCATAAATTGTGCTATCTATATTTTTTTAATAAATTATCAAAAATATTACAATATTCCGCGTTTTTATTCTTTCCAGACAAATCTCGGGCGAAACATCCAAGTAAATGACCAGGTGAGGATAGTTCAATTTTACAGGGTTCATTAACAATTCTCCCCTTTCATGAAACATGTGATTCCGAGCTATTTTTTATTTTCCAGCAAAAATAAACAAATCTAAAAATGTAAGCTATCATACATATTACATAATGATTCAAGGCTTGCGAAATTTGGCGAAAATCTTAATTTAATAATCGTTAAATTAAGCTGTTTCCCAACATTAATATATAGTATATGACAAAAAATTTTTTTTACATATTCTAGCATTATTTAATTCTGTGTGTGCCGTAAAATTGTAATTAATTCTTCTCGATAATGTGTTAAAACTGATACAAACGTATAGCATAACCCAATTATAAGGTTTTCGGGCATTTCGCATATAGGCCCCAAAGATGTGTCAAGGTTTTAAAGTTTAAAATTTATGGTAGGGGTTACCGAGGTAAAACGATTGATATTTTGCATTTATGCAATAATATTTTGAAATATTAACAAACCAGAATTATATATTTGTGAGTAGTCAAATTTCTCATCTATAAAATAAAAAAAGCCTACCTTCTACCTATAATGTTTTAGGAGCTGTAATTAACTATGTGAAGTGTGCCATTTTCGCCATTTTACCCCATACCCAGGGTAAAGTGGTTAAAATAAAATTGAACATAACCATAGTTTAATTGAACAAAATATTGCAATTTTAAAAGCAATTCACAATACAATACCGAAATGTAAAAAATTACATCAAAAATAGCATATTTTGAATGTGCCCAGCACATTGTATATTTCAATTATTCTTCCCCTTTACGACTATTCATAAAATTTTACTCCAAACACAAACTATTTATTAATGTACCTTTTTGTACAAATGTATCTTTTTATATGGTTTAGACGTTAGAATTTAAAAAATATCCTTTTACAGCTTACAGACGGAGCATTTTAACCGTTTACCCATAGCAACTTGACTCCAAGATATATTGTGCAAATCGTTATTGCGTGACTTCTAGTTAAGTTATAAACTTCCAGTAAATTTTATTTAAAGCTATGACTTTAAGGAACAACTATATAAAATTTTAAATTCTGAGCCTTAATATATTTTGCGAAAAGCAAAAAAACTAGAGGGTGATTTTTATAATTTTTGGGCAAAAAACAATTTCTTGGCAAAATATGTCAAACCAGGCAATTCCAAAAGATGAACATAGGTAGAAAAATTAGATATAAAAATAAATCTTCATACCAAATTTTAGGTCTTTATGCTCAAGGGTTACGAAGTTATTCGCTTTAACATTGTTACCCCGTCAATCACTTTACCCCGATCTCCCCTATCCATTAAGAAAAGTTATATAATTACATGTTTGATAAAAAAAAAGTACATGACGAACTCCCTGACAAGCACCAAGAGTTTCAACCCGGCCCCATTCAATTTTTCTAAAATTTTACTAGTTTGCATATATTATAACAAATAGGAAGAAAAAATTAGCATACAACCACAAACATCGGCTGAATATCAGTTTCTAAAGGTCAGAAAAATAGGATATTTTGGGCAAAATTCACTCCTTCAATTTTAGATATAATTGAGTTAAAAGTAATATTTAAATTTCTTTATATTAGCTTAATGGTAGGTTTTTTAAGTGACATAATGTTAAATATTTTAAAAGTCAAAAATAGGGAATAGAAAACCGGAAATGATTATAAAATTTAATCAGAATTTTTTTTCATATTTTATGTCTAAATAGGAATAAGCCTAATAAAATATATGTTTTTTTTCAAATCAGTCAATTGTAACAAAAAAAGAGAATGTATTTTGCCAAAAATACCTCAGTTTTCAGACCTTTACTGGTTTATATCTTAGCCGCTATTCGGAGTTAGGGATTCAAATTTTATTTTTTATCTTATCCTTAATATATAATCTCTCTAGTAAAATTTCTAAAAAAAATCTTAGAGGATAGGGTTAAAAGGCGTTTTTTTATATTAGAATATAAACTAATTGCAAAGATTATTTTGCTAACAAAATATGATAGAAAAACAATACACCTTTAACTTAACAATAAATTATTTAGATCAAAATTTTGTAGTTAACCTTGCAAAATAATGTCTAATAAGAGAAGAATCATGACTTAGCAACAATCTTTCTAAACTTGTGAGTAACTTGTCTAAATTTGAGCTTAAATAAGTAGAGAACGCAGACTATCAAGAATCGAGAGCTCAGATTTGCAGCAGTTACACACATAAAATAAATAATTCACTTATTTAAAAAACAATTATATATAAAAAATAATATTCACCGTCGATAGAAAGGTAATCCCTTTGAAACATGGCTTCTAATTCAACGAAATCAGAAAAAAAGGAACTATCTATGACGCATCCTTGTCCTAGATGAATTATTATTTAATAAAAATTTAATTATTATAATTATAATAATAATTTTTTTCATTTCTTTCGTACTTTTTTTATTCATTGTAATTAATCTTAAGTTATAAAAAAAAGCCTTTTCTTTCCTTTTAGTTCCTTCTTATTTCTTTATAAAAGATAGACAGTAAACCTCCCTTATAACTTCCTCATAAAAAAAATCTCGTATTAAAGGTATACTAAAGGTGCTCTGGGGCTGTACAACTCGTAGATATGTGATATTTTACAGCCTTATCTTTTATGTAAGTGTGAGGTTTAATTATTATTAAAAAAAGAGATGTGTCTATACTTTGGCATCGGTATCGGCTGAACTTTTAATTTTAAGCAATTCCCAAAATAAAAATTAACCCTTATAAATAAAAATTTAGTCATTTATAAGGAAAAAAAATTAATATTTAAATTTTTAAACAGATAAGTAAAAAAGAAAGAAAGGGTTTAAAAAGTAAAACATTAGGCTCCATCATTGTTGTTTTGCCTAATATTTTATTTTTAAAACCTCATAAGACCGATATCAATAAAAGCGTTGTCCCATTTTTTTTACTATTAAAATTTTGCTACAGAATATTAACTTCAAAACATGAATAATAAATTTACAAGAAAATAAATTATGTCTATAAGCTTAATTGAAATTCAAAGGCAAGGCTTAAAATAAAAAAATATTTTTGCGGACTGAGAAAATATTTAACATTTTTTGGATTATATCTCATTTTAAAAATATGGTATCAATATCGGTGGCAAAATAATGTTGATATCAGTGCAATCTCTGATAAAATTGTTGTAATTGATTTCCGAAAATTAACTTTAAAAGTATATAATTTTTATACCCGTATTATAAAGATGCTCCAAAGCGTCCAGGTATTGCATACACTTCAGAAACATAATTTTGAATCTGAGCTTGGCAGAAGAAGGTTTATGGCCTGGGTCGGCATAAAAATCAGGTAAATCGAGAGCGGCTACATCTCTAAAGTCGGGGTAAGATTGGCCTGGCAGGGGCGTGAAAATCGAATTTTTACGAGGAGTTAGGAGGAAGGTGTTGAGAACTCGTTGGTCAAATCCGTATTCATCTATGTACAACATATCTAGGCTTACCTTAAATATTTGAATTGAAAAAAATTATTCTTAGAATATTTTAAACTCAAAAATATTCACACAAAAACAAAAAAAAAATTTCTTAGATCGTTTAAAAAAATGTCGGCAATGGAAAGTAATTCTTTAATTCTTTAGATACTAAAAAAATAAATTCTTGTCATAAATGTTTTTAATATTCAGCAATATGATAATATCAATAAGTAAAATTTTTAAACAATCTTCGGTCCAAAATATTCAATCGCAATCAAGTCAAAAAAAAATTGGTCAACTTAAAATCAACAAAAATCAATGATTTCAAAAAATGCACAACAAAATAAAACCAACCATTAGAATATGTGCTGATTTTAAAATAACTAAATAATTATCGTTGAATGATTTGCTCAAAGATTGGAGGAAGACAGAAGTATTCAACATTAGATCTCAAATGCCTACCTCAAATGGTATTTCAGGAGGAATCGCAAATTTTTTTCACCATAGCGGCTCATGTTAAGCCTTTTTAAATATACTAGGATGTCATTTGGACTATCTTTAACGACTATAATTTTTAAAAGGCTTATAGATAACTTATTAAAATCGTGCCCAAAGACAAATGTATACTTGGATGATATCATTATCAGTGGCAAGAAACGATAATGACCACCTGCAAAACTTTAAATGTCAGGAAATTATAGATGGTGAGGATCTAAGACAAAATTAGTACCTATATGAGCAGGGGTGTGGTTGTTAAGGGGGCTAGGCTAAATTTATCGGAGGGTTAGGAATTAAATTTTTAGATGAAATAGGGCAAAATATATGGCTGCAAAAATTTCATAATTTTATTACAGATGGATTGCTAAACATCGACTATATCTATATATTGCATACAATGCAATTATTAAAAAATAATTCTTTCACACTCACAATTTTTTGAGTATGTAGTAGACTATTGATAATTTACGATATTATTTGTAAAATATATGAAAGGATAACAATTATAATTAAAAACTCGTAATTAAATAGGCAAGAATAAGATTTTTTTAGGGGGGTATGTATGGGTTTTTAAGGGGGGTTTACATCCAAAATATTCTTGGAAGCTGGTTAAAATAGACATAAAAGTATTAAAAGGTTCTGTAAATTTCTTAGCTTCAAAATATAAAAATCGGATCTATCCCATCAAGGTAAAAGTTGAAGCTATCCGAGAGGCTTCTACGTCTATGGATAAAAAAAACTAAGTGTTTCTTGGGTTGGTCAAGTACCAAATACGTTTTCTACCAAATTTATACTGAGGTTATGCACTGTTAGACAGGATTACAAGTTTCAATAGTGAATCTCTACGAATCCCCTAATTATGCGCTAATTTAAAAAAATAAGTATAGAATCATGTTTGGCTCTTTGAGATAATTCCGCAAATGTTAATATTAGTCTGTTTTTTTTTAAATTAATTTTAAAATAAAGAAAAATCACATTTATTTTGATTAAACTGAATCCTAAGTATAGAATCATGTTTAGCTCTTCGAGATAATTCCGCAAATGTTAATATTAGTTTGTTTTTTTTAAATTAATTTTAAAATAAAGAATAATACATTTATTTTGATTACTAAATCCTTATGTATCTCCTATTAATTATAAGCTAATTTAAAAAATAAATAAAGAATCATGCCTAGCTCTTCAAGATGATTAAGTAAATGTTAATAGTTTTTTTTTAAAAATGATAAATTATAAATAATATTGAAAAAAACAATTTTTTTGACTAACCCATAAATCGCAACGAATCCTCATTAATGTTTAATTTTTAAAAAAAAAAAAATTAGAATCATGTTTAAAGATAGTTTATAAAATGTTAATTTTAATTTTTAAAAAGTGATAAATTATTAAATTTAAAATACACTATTTTTTGGCTAAACTACGAATCCCCTACTAATTATGCACTATTTTAAAATAATAAATATAGAATCGTGCTTAAGTAAATCCTTAAGATGGTCTTTAGCCATTTGTTTTTGCTCAATACTCAATAAAACTTGATATCGAGGGTCTAAATATATAGAAGCGTATATAACACTATTTTGCAAATATTGTTGGTCTCGAATTTTCATATTTTCTAATATTTCATATGAAAAAGGACTAGTAAATCTTTCTAAATCTAATTGTCATCTAATCCATATGCCGTTAAAATCAGATAAACATAATTGTTCTATTCGTAATCTGTTTGGCATCAATCATCTTCCGACAAAATGACTTCATATGCTTTTATAATAAAATCATTACAGAAATCTTTCAAACTTAATAATCGTTCTAGCATCATACAAATTGAGGACCAACGTGTTGTGCAATCTAATATTGCCATTGAACTTTTCATTGATTTTAATATTCTTAAAATTGTAGGTGTTCTTAAATATTTTACAACATCCTTTGCTTTTTTTAAAGTGAACATTTTTTTAGGCAATCATTGATAGCCAATATAAATTTACATAATAAAATATTATTACCTACACTAGAAAATAATTTATGATATCAATCTCTAAATAAAATGGAAGTCCAAAGAAAATTGAAAGAAAAACGCGAAGATAAAATAAATGATTCCATTAAAAAGGTTAATAAAATTTAAAAAAATATTTTTGACCCTCCATTTTTAAAAAGGGTCCATGTCCGGGTTTGGGTGCAGCCAAAATACGAACTTTCAGGTCCGGGTTCAGTTCACATCCCTGGTTTAATAGCAAACTATGCTTCTCATCTCTTCTGATTCGAGTTAGTGGAATGGGTTTTGCTCATCATGCATTAATAAAAGTGGCATTTTACTGATAATTCCTACTTCTACTTCTTCATCAAGAAGAAATTGGTTGATTTGGGTTAATATTCTTACTAAAACAGAAATCGATTGAAGATCTCGACAACAAGAAAATTTATTAAAAATAAAATTATAATATTTAATATGAATCAGAACATGAATCTGCCATAGAGAGTGAAATATTAGTTATTGAATGAAAAATTAATATTATAGACTCATTTTACTATTATATACAGAATAAAGTTAATATTGTCTTAAAAAAACATTTACTTGAATTGACCTTCAATATCAGTCAATTGACACAACCCAGGTATTAATGAATAATTTAAATTTTGCCAATGCATTAGGAAACCCAATTGGAAAATAACAATAGCTAAAATTAAAAATAATAACCCACCATTATTTTATTAATAAATAAAATAAAAATAATTTGGTTCAACAGTTTTATTTGAGGATATAGATAATAGTATTTGTTTTAGAAAATGAATTATTTTCTTTCTGATTCACTGATATTGACTAGTTAAATATTTTAAAACAGTTTGCAAATATCATCAAATTTTTAATTGACAGTCAGTTTTTCACTGACAAAATATCAAATTTATCTTATTACTTATCAATATAAAATTTTTTCAATAATTTCCCTTTTTACTTTCAAAGAAATATTCTACTAAGGTTAAAAAAAAATTATTATTTATGATATTTTTGAATCTAAATATGTAACTTCTCTAATTGAAATATTTATTTAGTTTAAATTGCTATTTAACAGTGTTGTTAAAATAGCGCGCTACTTTTAAAAAAAAATAGCGATAGCGGTAGCTCGCTACTAATTTAGAAAGTAGTTCAAAATAAATACATCTAAAAATTATTAAAATATATTTTTTATAAAATCTAAAATTATAATCCTTTTATTTAATTTAATTTTGAAATTTATATTTATATTTAAAAATATACATTATTGTTATATATTAGATATAAACAGTTGTTAAATAGCAATCTGTATTTAATTTATATTTCGCGCATTCATTAAATTATATATTTTTGAAATTCCGTTATTGGTATGTCCTTGCTTTTATCTTATTTTATATTTCATTTTACATTTTATATTAAGCATTATAAATCTTGTTATGTGTGAGATTGTTGAAGATATTGAAATTTGAAAATGAGCAAAATATAGATGATCCTTTCCCAAAATTCAAGAAATACTTTAACCTTAAAGAAAAAATTATAACTGGATATCGGTTTCGGTGCAAGATGTGCCGCAAAATTATCTTTTCAAATCATACGAGCAGCTTTAGTTTGAAAAAACATTTAAAGGTAATATATTAAACAAATTTAATATCAATGTGTAGGCTAATCTTTAATTTTTAAAATAAATTAAAATCAAAAACCAATTATTTTTTTTATATATTCATAAATTTTATCTAAATTATTTAAAACATTTTAAAATAGTTATTTCAATCATTTTTATGTACTTATATCCTACATAATTTTTATTCTAAGTATTTTATAATTTTAGACTGTGCACACTTCAAATTATTAAGAGATTGAAAAATATCTCAAAAGTTTTGGGGTAATGGAAGAAGATAAACCCACTTCCAAATCAAATTTAATACAAACAAAATTAACCAATTTGGATTCATCAACACCTGGTGTATCCCAAAAATTGGCTGACAAAGTCATTATAAACTTTATAATAGATACAGTTCAACCATTATCCTTGGTGGATAATGATTCTTTTATAAAGATGACAAACACTTTTTCTCCACGGACCAAGATATTTTGCCGGCAGACATTGATGGCAAGAATTTTGGAGAGCTTTAAGGAAATGAAAGAATCTTTGATATTAAATCTATCAGATGTCTCCTACGTCTGTACAATGGCAGATTGCTGGACTCACAATAAAAGGTAAAAATGTTTATTTTCTGATTTATAATATGTCATAAAATCTTAAACGAAAATCTGCAAGCTCTAAAGAGAATAATTGGCTGTCAGACTTATGACATTCTAGCCAATATTATTGCAGAAATCCATAGGTCTTACAAAATTCAAAACAAGGTTTGTAAGATGATTACGGATAATGGGTCTAATTTCCTAAAGGCCTTCAGGTTTTAAATTTATTATAATTTTTTTATAATATGATATAAATAATATGGCATATTTGGGGAGGATAATAATAATAACAATACTAGTAATATTCCTGAAAAAAATAATGAAGATGGAGAACAAGAAGAGGATG